CTATAAGTTTTCCCACCAGCTTTTGAACATTTCTGAATGAGGGAAGCTTCACTCTTCTCCCAGCCGCGAATCATCACAATGGTTTGCTGACTCCTGCCTCCTCTTACAAACCCCTGTTCCTGTTTTGGTCCTGAACCCCTGCATTTTTCAGTGAGCCCTGCCCCTGCTTTCAGTTTTGTCTTTTACCCCGTCAAGAGAATCTAAAGTACCGTCTGTGCAGTAGGAGAATTTGCAGTGCTCACAATTTCACTGCAGTTCCCTGGCTGACATTCATCCCCAAGTGTAAATTCATTCAGTTTTGCTAAGGTGTGGAGAATGAAAACCATTCTATCCAAGTTAAAAACCACACCTACACGTTTATTACTCGGGCATAAAAACACATTTATCGGTCAAAAGTTTTACAAACTGAAAGCTTTTTGAAAACACACAGCAACACATATCATATAGAAAATATACAAATTCACCACCTCTTATAAAGATTTCACTAAGTAAGAAACAGTTATTCCATAGTTTTGAATGATATAAAGGAGAAAACCTCTTAGATCAATTTCTCCTATTCTTATTTAGAGAATTAAATTATTTCTCAGAAACACATGACTAAAGGTCCCATGATCCTAGAGAAATTTTGGTAGCAATTTGTGTTTTAGGTATATCAAGAAAGTGAGGCAGTCACTTCAGCTCACTGTATTTCCTGGTGGAACAGAAACAAGTGTAGATGGCAGACGAAAAGGCAAAGTTATCAGAGAAACCTACATCTCCAACTAGATGTCATTACCATGACAGATGAAAGGTCAGGCAGAGACACAACCAGAAGGGACCTTGGAGATCATTCACTCCTAATTCTATTTATATAGGAAGAAACTGAGCCCAGGTCACCCAGCCAGGTAATAGAAGACCAGAGGCCAAAGGACTATCCCATACGGAAGCCTGGAGAGTAGAAAGAGTGGGGCAGTTAGGTTCCCTGATTGTTCCAGCATCACTGCACGCACGCACTGCAGGGTTTGGAATCCAACCAGAAAGATTTAAGCCTCCAAGTCGGTCTGGGAGTGGAGGAGAGAATTATGCAGCCCTTGGGAAAAAACACTAGGTTTACCTCTATTCTCAAGGGAGCCTAAGATAGTTGTTAACCAGAACCTAAGAGCTATAAAATAGCAGCTGTGACAACCCAGCTGGATGAGGCTGGAGACAGAAGGGACTTTGGGCTGTCAATGGGATGATAGGAGCTCTACTGCCACCTCTGTCTGTATAATGGGGTTGCTTTGGCTTGCATTAGTGATAACAACGCCACTGACAGGAAAGACCCCCTTCTGTGTCCGTCAGTTCTCCTGGGCATAAGGCACCTTGTCTCATCCACCGCTCCAACACATAAGGCTCTAGTGGCTAAACTCGTTGAAATCTTGAACTTTGCCCAGGGCATACCACCAAAGTAGCTCTTGTGCAAAAGGGAAAAATCAACAATGTGGTGCACGGGCCTCAACAAAGAAAAATGTTCTCAATATTGATAAGACGGAGTTTGCTTCCAAGTTGTTTAATCCCTTCCTTCAAGTGTATTTTTAGTTATACTCTACTTTTCTGGCAGTTCTGTTTTATAGGAGTTTTCTTAGGTTTATTAATCAACAGTCATGAATAGCAGTACCTCCTGTTTAATCTAAGGCAGAATAATATGAACACAAAATCAGTTTTAATCTGCATTAAACCTCACTGACGTTCAACTGCTTCTTCTGCAGAAGGAAGAATTAGACAGACTATGAAGTCCCTTCTAGCTCTAAGACCTGGCTTCTTTGACACAATCCAGCAAGTTTCCAGGTTAGTGCCACAGTCATTGACAGACTGCTGAAGGCCTGCTCTGTTGGAGTCAGGATCAAAACAAGACACACATTCTGCCATTAAGGAACTCATCATCCCATGGGTTAACCATGGATTGAGATAAACTTTCTTCTTTTCATATATAAAGGCACTAGGTGTTTGAGAAGGATTAACTACAGTAATCAAAAGAAGGTAGTAAAGAAATCACATTGTTTTAAACACAAAAAAAACCTGCTTCTGTGTTTGCCCATCCTAGAGAAACTAGAACTGATTAGTTATTTAAGAAGTTGCCCTGTTTTTTGCCTTTAGAAAGATATACAAATTCTACTGGAAGTAAACCCTCCAGCCCCACAAATAGACATTTTGTCACTTAAGTTAAAAAATACAAATATGAGATTGGGGGAAAAAAAACATCCAATCAACAAATCCAATTAACAGTGTCTCTTGTCAGAGGAAAAGAATGGAGAGCTAATGTAGACAAAACTGTTTTCACATTTATCACAAACTTTGGTACTGTGCATCAGTGAGGTAGTTTGGAGGAGACATAAAGTCACAGAATTGTGGACATTACAACCAGATTCCACCTCCATGTTTTCCATGATAGAAACGTACCTTCTACTGAAAGTTGATTTCATTTTTAACCCTATGCGTATAATAAAGGCTCACCCATCATCCCTGAAGTGTACACACTTTGGTTGTTTCCATAGTAGTGGCAAAGGGTTTGCATTAAAACATCTTGCATCTCCTGCTGTGGTTCCCCTTTGTAAAGAGCAGAACTAGCCAGGCTTCATAAGCACTTAAGTTACAACCCTCAATGTGGCATAATGAACTTAGTCGGTTATCGGCAATTCCATATACTTCTAGCTGCAAGACAAAGGAAATGACTCAGCCTGCACCTGGTGTGCAAAGAAAACAGAGCGAAAAGAAATGTCCAAATCAAACAGATACACACACATTTTCCCAAGGCAATAGGCCCAGTTTCTCTTACAGGGCTCTGGGGTTATTTTTGTTGTTATTGTTTTGCTTTGCTCTTTAAAATTTATGGGCAATTACATAGTAGATGGCAACCTTTGTAGTAGAAGAGATCTTCATCACATCATACTAGTGAATACCATACATGGCCCACATCTTTGTAGTGGCAAAGGTTCATATCAAAAATTCATTTGCAATATGGAGTACTATATGGAATTCTGAACTATGCTTTGGCTGTATGAAAAGAATCTCATATGGCTGGATTAAGACCTCAGGAGACCCTAAGAAGTGAAGAGAACACCTCACCCACAGCCCTATGTACTGAAAAGTAACATTTTATATATGCCCAAATTAAAGTTGCATATGCCTAGATTTTTTAATGGCAAAATTCTAGATGAGTTCATGTGAGCGAACTTTTCTCATGTTTTCGTGCCTCTTCACTAAGCACGGGTTTCACTGCCTGTTCATGTTGCGTGGTCAGCTTGGCCTCCTCACAACGAAGTGTGAGATTAAAATCCATACCTCTGTGAAACTGTAAAAGATGATGTGTCACGAGCTTTTAATAAACTTCTCCAAAGGGATAAAATTCATACGTTTTGCAATAACAAAGGCCCTGCTTTGACAAAACAATTGAACTAATGTCACGGCCATAGGGTCAATGGACTCCTGGATCCCTCATCTAGTATGAAGTCAAAGGAATTCAAATCCAAAACACTTCATGCAGAACAACTGAGAAAGGTCACTTTTTGCGTATGAAATGCTCTCCTATTCAAGGCATTACCCAGCATGATTTTGTTTTGCTCTTGCTGAACCTAATCCAGGCTCTCGCCCAGGGCTTACTGTTTTAAAAATTAGAAGCCTCAAGACATTACCAATAAGTTAGAAGGAAACTCGGTGAAGTTGCCCACACATACCTAGAGTGGAGGAGGAATAGAATCAAAGATCTAGCCATGGAGATCATTTGGAAATTAGACATTCTCCTTACTTACTGATTGACTAGTTACTTAACATTCAGTGACTAAATATCAGAAACATCGTCCTGACTTGCTCCCTATGAACCAGCCCACAGTATTGTCAATTACTGGTGTGGGACAATCACACAAAGCAAATTACCTCCTTCTGAAAGTGGGTCTTGTCTTATAACAGGTTTCAGCCTATGGTATAGCTTTAAAAATTCTTTGCTTTATGGAAAAGTTTGTTTCTATGTTTAAATATAAATACATTAATTAAACAAGTACTTATTTTGTACCTACTAAGTGCCACAAGCTGACCCAGGCATTAGGGAGGCATCAGTAAGCAGGAAGGACAAGGTCCCTTCTCACCCTGGTTCAGAGAAGATGACTCAGAACCCCAGTTAACTGTGAACTGAACACTTCTCACCATAGAGAGTACTTTCTTTCACAGCATGTCTTACAAAGAAAAGGCCATTTGGGAAGAAAATTAAAACTATTTCTATCACCATGAAAACCCTTTGGAATTTCCAATGTTGTAAAACGTGCAAAAGCATATCTCCCAAAAAGACTTCCGTGTCTATTGCAAATGAACATGCTTCTAAGCATAAATAAAAAAGAGGAGACATGCTCTTGTCCCCATGGGTTTCCCTATGGCAGATTCATCCTATTTTAAAAATGGCATAAAAATTCTGCACAATTGTATAAAAATGACTTGGCTGACATGACCAAAAAGATCAAATTATCTAAGTACTAAAAATTACATTATTCACTAAAAAAGATTTGTCCAAGAGGAAAATAATGATCTCCTTTAGTTCTATATGGCAAATTATTTTACACACTGTCTCTTAAATGTTCCAGCTGTGCTGAAAAACAGCTGGCATACTTAGTGAAAACATCCTAAATTACTGTGATGTTTAGTAAAAGGGCCTAACTATTTTTTTGAAGCTGCCGTGTTTTCTGGAGCACATGAATAATTCCAAACCTTTTCATAAGCTGTAAAATGATTCAGGCTTCCCAAACTAGGAAGATTATTGAAAGTCTTGTAGCCATCTCCAGCCTTACCCTATAGGCATTTACCATATTTTTACTCACTGCAGCTAAAACATCGACATCTGTCACCATGAATAATACTTTTACAGTTGCAAATTTGATTCCATAGTAAAAGAAAAAAAATGATTAACTTATTTCAAATATATTCTCTCAATGACATGTTCTTTTGTCCTTTATTTTGCCTTGTAAGAGTGCAGTCATTTATTTATGCCTTGTAAGAGTGCAGTCATTTAAAAATAAGAGTTTTGTGCTCTGGAATACCATACTTCCCTTTGTGCTCCTCAAATAATTTCCTTAGCTCCTCCATATAGGTCTGATGCAACTCCTCAATCTGCTCTGGGGTTGGGTGCAGAGTCTGATGAACAGGGATTGGGTGGCCAACTGCAAAAACAGAGAACACATCATCCGTGAGGAACCAAAACCACCCCACCACAGATCACTGCCTCTAGTGGACGGCTGTGGACAGGTCTGCCAATCAGATTTCCTCAAGCCTGCTCGCTCCAAGTCTTTTCCATTTCACTGGCTGCCTGCAGTGGTCACACCAGCTCATTTGATGACAAAGAAAGAACGTTCCTTCTCAGCAGACGCTGGCTTGCCAGTAACCTGGTGGTTTTGACTTTGAGTCAAATGAGCTACTGTGCTGACTGCCTGCAGCTGTGAGGGAAGTGGACGTAGCTGTGTGTCCACATCACCAGCATCCCCTCCGGTGCAGTTGACAGCCAGACCACAGTACTCTTTTTTTTACTGACTGTGAAATCCTTGAGTCATGTGGCATCCTCTATTCTGACTCTGCTTCTTAATGTCTTTCTAAACAACTAAAAATATATGTATCTTTGCAGCTAAGTATCTATGCTAGAGAAACACATAATCACAAGGATTCCACTGTTTATAATAGTGGAAAGCTCAAAAACAACTAAAAATCTTAATAGAAAAATTATTGAATAAACCATGGAACATTCACTCAATGAAACTGTAGGCAGGAATTTTTTTACAAATGAAAGAATAAATACAAATATGTGTACACACACACACATACAGACTTGTAAAATATATTGTGGGAAAAAATGTGTAAAATAATACAGTAGGATCCCATTTATTTATTTATTTATTTATTTATTTATTTATTTATTTATTTATTTTTTCCTTTTTGTCTTTTTTCGTGTCCGGCAACGGATCACAACCCTCAGTGTCGCGCCCGTACCGGACAGGACAGGCAACGGGATCGCAACCCTCAGTGTTGCGCCCACCCCTCGCTCAGCCAGTGAGCCGCCGGTCTGTATGTGCGATCCGAACCCTCGGCGGGAGCACCGCAGCGCTCCCAAGCGGCACACTGTAGCAGTGCGCCACCGGGCCGGCCCCAGTAGGATCCCATTTATGAAAAAATATTTATATTTCTAGATGCATTGTAAGTTTTTAGTGCGTAGAAAAAAGTCTGAAAAGAGAGACAAACTTATAACAGTTACCTCTAGGGAAGGAGGGAAGGATGGGGCAACTTTATCTGTATCATGTGAGTTTTCTACAAATGAGAATGTATTTGTATTTTACCTGTCTAATTAAAAAATATACGAATTAACTAAAAACAAATCTATCAACTTCTATACATATTTTAAAAGGTGTTTATATGATAAATTATCTCTTCATGTGTCAGATTTTTAGAGAATAGAAAAATACACATAGCTTTTGTGCTCGCACTCGCTGCACCCCCTGCTGGTCCGATGCCGCTAGTGATGCCAGGGGTTGAAAACGTACAGAATGTTCACTGCCCTGCGGGGCAGCAAAATGCTTCTTACTGACCTTTAATTAGCTTGAACATGAGGTCAAGTGGGGCTGTAGGTAATAAATGAAACTCACAGTGGAGGGGGTTTCCTTTGGTTTACCTTGGTTCCTCCCCTGCTACATACAAGGGTCAGATCCACATCAGTAACAGAAAGTGGTTAGTTAAGAAAAAACTGAGCAAATGTTAAGTCACAGAGGAGGAAGGAAGTGATAAGTGACATCAGTATGAGAGGTGAGGGGACACAGAGAAGGGAGTGACACACACACACACACACACACACACACACACACATATCCTTACTGCGACATTAACCTCAAATTGCTAAGTATTTAACAAGATACAGCCTCAGGGAGCTCATGTACAACGTTCTTTGACAGCTTGGATGTCATATTTTTGCACAGCAGACATCAGTCCTTCTTAACTCAACACAGAGAACTGGAAACATCACCATCTCGCTGTCAGTTGTGATTGGTAATATGGAGCAGCAGAGGCCGATGACCACAGGAGGGTGGAACTGGGAGCTGGAGTTGCGTAAAAAGCACTAGCCCAGCCTGGGTCTAGTCCCAGCTCACCTGCAAGTGCACTGAGCAAGGAACTTTCTCTCTGGTCTCAGTTTTCACGTGTAGGAGAAAAGAGAACTCGATAATCTGGAAGCTTCCTTCCCGCTCTGAGATTTGTGGTTGTTTCGAGGAAAAAAATTGAGATATCTACATGCAAATCTCCTAGCAAATATGTGGTTTTATAGAAATAGCTTCTGTTTTCTTAGTGAAAGTATCCAAGTGAGAGAGGTCAATGTAACTAATCAAGGTGGGGATGGGGACGAATAAAGAAACAGTGGTCTAAGAAGAGGAGTGTGGGCCGACCCGTGGCTCACTCGGTAGAGTGCGGTGCTAATAACACCAAGGCCCCGGGTTCGGATCCCACATAGGGATGGCCGGTTCGCTCACTGGCTGAGCGAGGTGCTGACAACACCAAGTCAAGGGTTAAGATCCCCTTACCGGTCATCTTTTTGGAAAAAAAAAAAAGAAGAGGAGTGTTGTTCCTAGCTGACTTTAATTAGGACTGACACATTCTGAATTAGTGAGTGTTCTTTCCTATGAGCTATTCTACAGCTAATTTCAATCCTGTTCTTATCTTATTAATTGTTTTATTATATTTCAGATGCTTCTTCATCTCATTTAATCTTCCCAAGGAATCTGTGAGGAAGGTCTATAATACTGTTAATCTAGATAAGAAAGTTGAAGTCCAAGGAAGTTTATCAGGACTCACATGCAGGTCTTCTGTTATAAAATCTGGTATTATTTTAATCACTAGGAAGCAGAGAGCATGAGGCATGGAATCTAGTCCCATCCCAGACATTAGGCAGCTCTGTGACATTGCATATGTTGCTCAACCTCTCTGAGCATAGTTCTTCATTGGTAAAAAGGAGATAATACCTTTTAATCCTGTTCTTATCTTATTAATTGTTTTATTATATTTCAGATGCTTCTTCCAGAAAGCTCAAATATGTTCATATAAAGTAAATTTGTCATCATAAGACTTCTCCCTTTATTTATTTATTTATTTTATTTTTTTATTTTTCCTTTTTGTCTTTTTTCGTGTCCGGCAACGGATCACAACCCTCAGTGTCGCGCCCGTACCGGACCGGGACCGGCAACGGGATCGCAACCCTCGGTGCTGCGCCCGCACCTCGCTCAGCCAGTGAGTGGGAACCGGTCTGTATGTGGGATCCGAACCCTCGGGCGGGAGCGCCGCCATGCTTCCCAAGCGGTGCACTGTAGCAGTGCGCCACCAGGCCGGCCCAGACTTCTCCCTTTAAACTGTGAGATGGACATAATCTACTTGTCTTTCTCTTATTTACTTGTAGAGAAACTGAGGTGCAACAAGTCCTACACCACATACAGCAAAACCCCAGGAAATTAAGATTTAAACCCAGCACTACCGCTCCTTTATTCCTAAACTAACCCAAAACTGGGTTAGAGAGTAAGAAATCTTTCTCAATTGCTTTTTAGGGATAATGCCAGGGGTAACAAAACAAAAACTTGCTCACTGTGATCATACTTTTACTAAGGAACTCAAGGAAGCCCATCTTGCAGAAATGAGATTGAAAACCATCAGACTATTAGCCATGGGAAACAACCACCTATTGCGAGTTCAGTTCCAACAGATCTACTTAAAAGCTAAATTACACCTAGACTGGAAATAAAGCTGCTATTTATCGAAGGCCATTAAATGGCCATTAAATCAGATGTATTAAATCAAATCTGGGCTCTGGCCAAAAGGTGCTGAGATGAGGACACTGTGGCATCCATGCCCCCTCATGCCTGCCACATGGCCACGGGACAGCCACTTCACCTTCTGCAGGAGGGCAGATGGAGAGTACAGCTGGTCAGGGCATCAGTTCTGAGGGCCCCTGTCTTGCTTCAAATCCCAGCCCTACTGCAACCTACCCTAAGAGCACTGTTTCATGGGGCCTCAGTTCACATCAAGGACCCAGTGTGTTATAAATTTTCATCACATTTCAGCTTTTACTATCATTAGAACTCAAGGTCCTCATCTGTGAGACCAGGATTTAAAACATCTCTGCCATGCCCAGCTCCAGCATTGTGAGGGTCAAAGAAAAAGATACACCTGGAGTTGTTCTGTACTGAGTTACTGCAACTTGGGATATTCAGAAAAGGGGAGCCCTGGAGCCCTAGAAGACCAGAATTCTCTCTCTCTACAAAAAGGAGATTCATTTTTACAACTAAGGAGAAAAAAAAAATATGTTTTCAACATAAGACTAAGTTAGTTGCAAACTGCTGCAAATCTCTCTTTTTACAGTACTACCAGCTGCATCAGGCTGCTCTCCTGCCCTGGAAAAATCAGCCAACGCCTACATGTGGCAGTCAGGAATCTCAGCTTTTGTTCATGTTTCACTGTTTTTTATAGCTGGTATGCTCATCTGTTCTATTTTCCAATTCCACCCCACAATTCAGAATTTGTTATGCATTTACTGCCCTACACAGCAGTTTTGTTCCAAATTCTGTGTTGCTGCGCTGCATTTACATAAAATGAAGAACATGCAGCTTCGTGAGCAAAGAGATCTTTCCCAGTTAAAAAAAAAAGTCTCTCTATTAGTCTCACAGAAGAACTACTCTTTCTCAAAATGTTAGAGAGCTGCACACTAGAAATAGCTGCAGGAAACTGTGTGCCCAGGTGAGGTTATGAACAGTGCAGATGAAACCTGAATTCCAATCCAACCTCTGGCTTACGGTGGAGGTTGAAAAGATGCCCCTGTCAGCGTGTGTGTGTGTGTGTATGTATGTGCATGTACACACATACTCAATGAACCTTCACTGAGCACTTAATATGTTGTACTGGGCACTGAAGGGTGGCAGAATATGCCACTTTGGCATAGATTATTTTCAGCTAAGGCACTTAAAAAAACAAACACAGGTGCAAGAAGGGTGCTCTGACCCTCCCCTTTTCTTCCTGAAAGCAGGAAATAAAACTCCTATGTGAAAGATGCCCTCCCTATACCAGGAGAAAAGGAACATTCTTATCACCAGAGACAGGCTGTCAAGGCTGAGAGAAACCTGTATAACTAGACCTTATATATTCC